TAATGATTCACCTATTTTAGAAAAGTTAAATTACTTTTAGTAACAATAGACAAGGATTTATTAGCCCATATAATAGCTTCATCGTAATTTCCAAGCATTGTTAATTCAATCGAAAAAGACAAGGATTATTGTAAACAGTCAGCTAATAGAGAATTTTGTATGATTTATTTACCTTTTGTACATAATGAGTTGACATGCTTCTAATCAATAGTTAAAGCTTTATCAGCCCATATAATAGAATCATCGTAATTCCCAAGCATTTTTAAAGATTCCGCTAATGCATTTTTGTGGGATTTTCATACCTTTTGTACACAAAGAGTTGACATGTTAGAATCAATTGACAAAGCTTTATCAGCCTATAGTAATAGCATCATTATAATTTCCAAGCATTTTTAAAGAGTCAGCTAATACAATCGTGTATGATTTTTATAGCTTTTGAGTATGATGAGTTGACATGATTTGAATCAATAGACAATGCTTTATCAGCCCATATAATAGCATCATTATAAATCCTAAGCCTTCTTAAAGATTCAGCTAATACATTTTTGTAGGATTTATATACCTTTTGTAAATAATGAGTTGATATGTGTGGAATCGATAGAAAAAGCTTTATCTGCCCATATGATAGCATCATGTAATTCCTGAGCCTTCTTAAAGATTCAGCTAATATATTTTAATTTTATTTTTTACCCTTTATACTTAATGAATTGATATGCTTCTAATTAATAAACAAAGCTTTACCAGCCCATGTAATAGCATCATTATAATTACCAATCATTTTTAAGCAGTCAGCTAATACATTTTTTTACATATATATACCTTTGGTATATAATGAGTTCACATGCTTTTGATCAATAAATAAAGTTTTATCTGCCCATATAATAGCATCATTATAATTCTTGAGCCATAATAATTACTTAAAGCTTCAGCTAATACTTCTTGTATGATTTATTTACCTCTTATATACAATGAGCTGATATGTTTAGGATCATTGATTAATGCTTCATCTAATAATTTAATAGCTTCTTCATATTCATCTTTCAAATGGAAGATTATTGATAATTGATGATTAAGCATAAGTTATAACCTAATTATTTATTTCATTTACCTTTTTAATATAATTCATCTGCTTTTTCTTATTCTTATTGATTTAATTCAAAATAATTTAATTCTTCTAGTTTTAAATCTGTAATGCTCCTTTTTAATTGAATGATCATATCATCTTAACATTAATTAACTTCTTATAATAAAAATGTTTTATTTTCTTGATATTTGATCACTTAATCTAAAGCTTAATGTATTTGCTTTGCATAAACAGTTCAATTATTTCTCTAACCATCATATTTAATTTTGATATTAAACTTTCAGTATCTTTCTCAAATTCATGAAAAAACTCAATAAGTTCCTTTAAACTTTTTTAATCTTTGTAATGAGCAATGTGATCTCCATTTCTAAGACATTAATGACAATAAACTCTATTAGCTTTACATTATTCATTCAAACAAGCTAATTCAACATAATCGTGTTAATCGATAGAATATTTAATCTAAAGAACTCTTATCTAATTCATAAATTTTATTTTAATTTGTATTTCTATTAAATTGCATAACATAAACTTATATATAATAATATTATTTATTACTGATGGGGTTAAGAAATTTAAATACATTTGAGATCTAATTATATTAATTTTCTGATATTAGTAATAAATTATTAAATTATGAATTTTAGTATTTTCTATTTATACTTTAAGAGGGAAAAGCCATAAAATTAATTTAATATTTGACCTAATTGTAATTTATATGAGACGTGAAGATTGCATTATTTTAAATATATAATTTCAAACTATATTCATTTCTTATAATAATCCAAAAATTATTATAGATTTGAGTCGTTGATAGTCTAAATTCTAAAATATTTTCAGAATTATCTAATATTATTTTTTTAAGATAAAATAAAGCTGTTTAATTAATTATCTTTATTAAGATCAAAGCATCTGTTGAGACATAATAATGAGCTGTAAATTTATTTCATAAGTATGACATTCCACTTTATTATTTAGTGTGCTGTCTTATTCTTTTTTACCGTATGTATTATAAAACCAAAAAATTTAAGTNACATTTTTTTACATATATATACCTTTGGTATATAATGAGTTCACATGCTTTTGATCAATAAATAAAGTTTTATCTGCCCATATAATAGCATCATTATAATTCTTGAGCCATAATAATTACTTAAAGCTTCAGCTAATACTTCTTGTATGATTTATTTACCTCTTATATACAATGAGCTGATATGTTTAGGATCATTGATTAATGCTTCATCTAATAATTTAATAGCTTCTTCATATTCATCTTTCAAATGGAAGATTATTGATAATTGATGATTAAGCATAAGTTATAACCTAATTATTTATTTCATTTACCTTTTTAATATAATTCATCTGCTTTTTCTTATTCTTATTGATTTAATTCAAAATAATTTAATTCTTCTAGTTTTAAATCTGTAATGCTCCTTTTTAATTGAATGATCATATCATCTTAACATTAATTAACTTCTTATAATAAAAATGTTTTATTTTCTTGATATTTGATCACTTAATCTAAAGCTTAATGTATTTGCTTTGCATAAACAGTTCAATTATTTCTCTAACCATCATATTTAATTTTGATATTAAACTTTCAGTATCTTTCTCAAATTCATGAAAAAACTCAATAAGTTCCTTTAAACTTTTTTAATCTTTGTAATGAGCAATGTGATCTCCATTTCTAAGACATTAATGACAATAAACTCTATTAGCTTTACATTATTCATTCAAACAAGCTAATTCAACATAATCGTGTTAATCGATAGAATATTTAATCTAAAGAACTCTTATCTAATTCATAAATTTTATTTTAATTTGTATTTCTATTAAATTGCATAACATAAACTTATATATAATAATATTATTTATTACTGATGGGGTTAAGAAATTTAAATACATTTGAGATCTAATTATATTAATTTTCTGATATTAGTAATAAATTATTAAATTATGAATTTTAGTATTTTCTATTTATACTTTAAGAGGGAAAAGCCATAAAATTAATTTAATATTTGACCTAATTGTAATTTATATGAGACGTGAAGATTGCATTATTTTAAATATATAATTTCAAACTATATTCATTTCTTATAATAATCCAAAAATTATTATAGATTTGAGTCGTTGATAGTCTAAATTCTAAAATATTTTCAGAATTATCTAATATTATTTTTTTAAGATAAAATAAAGCTGTTTAATTAATTATCTTTATTAAGATCAAAGCATCTGTTGAGACATAATAATGAGCTGTAAATTTATTTCATAAGTATGACATTCCACTTTATTATTTAGTGTGCTGTCTTATTCTTTTTTACCGTATGTATGTCGATAATATAGTTACAGATGAATTATTTGATGTTGGTGATTTAATTATATTAATTTTGTTATTAGAATTAATGTCTATAGTTACAGATGAATTATTTGATGTTGGTGATTTAATTATATTAATTTTGTTATTAGAATTAATGTCTAAATTTAAATTTATATATTGTCCAGAAGGTTATGGACTAATTTAGTCTGAATAAGGTAGGTCTTTTGGTTTCATTTTCAAATGAATAATGTTACAATCAATATATTGTTTGTATTAATTGAAAATTCAAATGTTAAAGTTACTCATATTTTGGAAGGTGATACACTTCTTGTTTAATTCATTTCGATACTGTTAAAAATAAATAAATAAATTTCTATAAGTTTGATTTCAAATAACCAATTATTTATACCTACTTTAAAAAAATTATTGATTAATCTTAAGATTTCAATCATTCAAATGAAGATTTTTTAATATTAATTTAAATATAAATAAATTTGCAAAAATGCTTAAGAGGAAAATGTTAAAAGTAATAAGTTCAATTTGAACTATTGAGGTAATTAATTCTATTTCTATTGAATTGAAAAATGTAATATCTGCAAAATTGCATTCTAATAACAAATCAAATCATAATTAATGAGTTAATCAATTGTTTAAAAAATAGTAAAATATAATCAATCTGACAAAAATAATGAATTTAGTTTGCGATTGAGTAATATGCAACTTTTTAATATTTCTAATTATAAATTTGTTTTTATTCAAGAGTTATTTGGAGTTAAATTTAAAGAAATTAAACATTCTATTTAATATGTTTAAAACAATTTTGATTAAAAAATTTTTTTAAATACTAAAGTAAATTAAAAATGAGCATTTAATATTTTATTCACTATTTAAGATTGATAAATTCTACTCTTATTTTCTTAAGGCTTTAAACAATCTTTTCTTATTAAACTAATCTTTAATTTAGATATCTTAAATGTTTTATTTAAGTTGATCCCATTTAAATTTATCAAAAAGTATATTTAATAGAGGATTAGATGGTTAAATTACATCTAATTTTTTAATTCTCTCATTTACAACAATAAAACAACATATTAATCTAAAAGACCAAATTACTATTCTTTTCCTTTATATTACAATCTCTTTTTTCAAACATCGGATTTTTCAAATATTTTCATCAATAAATTTTTATTACTTATGTTTATAAACAGTAATTTAGCTTTGATTATTTTATCATATTATTCCTTATCAGTATTATATTGATGACCATGTAAAAATATAAAATTTTATTCTTCTTCTATTCATTCTGAAAATAATTAGAGTTCTCTATTTCCTCATCAATAATCATCTTTTTCATCTAATTAATTTCAGTTCCAAGGAATATAATGATTTAATCTTTATATAATTCAATTTGATTCTCAAACTTGCTAATATCATTTTTACTCTAAATGATTAATTGAAAATAAGAAATTAAATATAAAGTATCGAATTTTAAATAAATGTAGTTTTTTAAAAAAATATTACCATAACTTGAGTGCCCATCATAAATTAATTAATTAATCCTGATAATTAGGCTGTTCTTTTAATGCGTATCTTTAAAATTCTGAATGCAAAATTAATTAACATTAAAATAATAGAGCTAGAAATAATATTCATTAAAGATATTAATTTCCAAATTTAGGACAAAAAAATCATTTAAATATTAAAAAAATACAAAGTCCTTCATTTAAATTTAAAGGCAATACTTATGGAAATCAGGAATCAAAGAATATGAGCTTTATAATAAATATATTAAGATCAAGATAAATATCATATTTTGAAAAGATTACAAATTTATTTTTTTCATTGAATGGAACAATTTGCGATATTTATAAATTAAAAGGGAGGAAATCAAAAATATTATCAAAATTCCTGAAATATAAAGAAATATGAATAGATCCAAAATCTTAAATGGTTAGTTAAAATTAGTTAAAAAATAAGAAAATTGCTAAAAAAATGGCCTTATGGAATGGAGTATGGGTAGAACTTTTCAAAAATTACTAGAAGGCAATTACCTGAATAATAATTATTTTGGCTTAAGTTTTTAAAATTGGAGAATACCATAATAATTTAAGAATAGGAAAATGGAGTTTTTGTTAATCAGAAAGTAAATGATGTTAGTGGTGGTGCATGTTAATTATAAGAAGGAAACTCAGTAATGATTCAAAAATGGATTTTATAAAAAGAACACCATTAAGTAATCATTTTAAATCAGTTGAATTACTTTTTTTCCTGATTGAATTAATCTAAATATTCATCCAAAAACTTAAATTATGATATAATTTTTATACTTGATTAGCATATTTATAATATTTAGAAAATAATTTAGTTTTATTGTAAAAATTATTTTCAAATAATAATATATTAGATTGCTTTATAAATTAGAAAAAATAATATCATATAGTTGTTGATTTCTATTATAACATAACCTAAAAATATCTCTAACTAAATGTGAATAGAAAATCGTTAGAATAATTTTATTACATTAAAAATATAAGCATTTCAGAAAGCCTGTATTTTTTAATTATTCTTCAATATGCATATTCAAACAATCATTACAAAATTAATGATTACAAGATAATGATATATTAATTTAATTTGTCATACATATAGAGCATAAATTAGGTTCATTATAATATTGATTCTAAATTTAATGTGACAACCCTAAATTTATGAATACTTAATCAATAGAATTGTATTTGAAAAACAAATCTCCAATTTTTATATGGTCCCATCCAACTTGAGTAAGAATAAAGGTAGAGTCTGATTTTGATTTTGATAATGCTTCAGATATATCGTTTACTATAACGTCTATAAAAGATGATATTTCGTCATTCTCTATTAATTATTTTGACATTAAATTAAAAATAATATAATGAAATAAGTATTATATAAATTATAATTTTTCTTAATTCTTAATGTTAAAAATTTTATTGTTTAAATATTATATTTTGAAATCGAAAATATTGTCTCCATGTTGTATTATTACTTCAGAGGAATATGAGACGTCTTTGAGTTGATAAGTAGAATGGTTTACTACAAAAAAAATTATGATTATCTATACTCTAAAATTATTGAACAGGTAAATAATCTTAAATTCAGATTAATTATATATTTAGTTATATTTATATCTCCTATTTATAGAGCGATAATTTTAGAAATGGAACCACATCAAATTTGTAAGATTGAAGAAAAGGAATATGATAAGAAAGAATAAATTTGTGAATATTGAAGATGAAATACAT